TTTTACTGTTCTTTCCTCAATTTTGTACATTTTAAGAAAGCTGAACAGTGGCTTGAGGAATAGCACCTCTTTTGGTAGGCATTTTTCAACTTTTTTGAATTCAACCTTTTTAAAACATATCTACAATTTCTAATTTTGTTTCAGAGACCTGCTCATAATGATGCTGTGTTTCATCGTAAAACATATGGTCTGAATCTTACGTTTTTTGCCTGACAATTATGTCAAACTACTGAAAGTTGACCATTCAGTGCATTAATTTTTGTTTTTTCCAATAATGGGAGATGGGCCAGTTGTTTCTTTGAGATAGAGATTGCTTATGGTTTCTCATGTTTAAAGGCATGAGGAATATTAAATAAATAAATCTTATTTTATGATGCAACTTATCTGGTTATTAGTTCTGGGTTGTTTCTGAAAGTTACTCATTTAGATAAGAAAGGCAGCTGCCTTAGTGTAATAAAGAAATTACAAAAGTCTGTTCATAAAATTACCTCCAATGTATAGCAATCAACACATCCACTTGGATTGTCTGATTTTTAAGCTCCACATGGCCTAGTCCATGTTAATTTATTTAACATTGTCAGCATTTCCTTGTATATGTTTCTCCTTGATGTGTTTATCTATCTTACCTTAAAGTACAACTGTTCTATTCACCTTAACTAACTCTTGTGCTAGTGCACCAGAGCAAAACTGGCTATTAATAATCTATCGTGTATGCCCACCATTTAATTCCCCAAAGGCTTCTGGAATAGTTATATGATAAATGTTTAATGCTTTAGAATGCATAATAGTGCAGGAAGTACATTTGATATTTGCTGTGCTGATGAAGTGTTACCTATAAAATAAAATGGTGATTGCTATAAAGGCCACTGTAAATGTATGCGTAATGATATGAGCTCATTGTAAAATAAAGCTGAAATATCACCTACAACTGATATCAGTTTATCTTATCATATAAACTTCTGAGAAAATGAGTCACAATGTGTCACCCCAGAAGTAAGGATGTCAGTTGTATTGAACCTTGCTTAAACTATACATGAAAATATGAAAATGGAGAAGAAGTGGGCCACTTGTCTCCTCGAGGCTGCCCTGCCAATCATGAAGATCACAGTTGATCTGTAGTTGCTTCAAACTCCAAATTCTCATTTACACCCAATTTGATTCCATTGCCTAATAAGAATCTATTCATTTCTGTCTTAAAAGTATTCCACCACCTTTTGAGGCAGAAGTTCCAAAGTTATACAAAACTCTGAGGGAAAACTTCTCCCCTCTTTCCTGTCCTAAAAGGGTGACCACTAATTTTAAAATAGTGTCCCCTACTTCAGGACGGACCCACATATTAATCAAAAGCTGTTAGGCAGTTGTCAAATGAAATTTGTTTTCTCGTTGATCTGTTGTCAATGTAACATGTGATCTGATGCCCTCTTCATAGGAGAGAAATGTGCTAACTTATTAGCATTTGATTGGGCCGCAGTTCTGAAAGCTGTTCAGTACCTTAGGAGTTGTGCTTTCCATCTTTGCATCTGTCACATGGATTAGTTAGTTGAATTTATTTTTTGCGGGGGTGGTGAGAAGATCAGTAAAATTGTATTTGCTGATCGACATTGCTGAGTATTTTCTTAATTTGGATGGCTATTGTTAAGATCAGCTTTGCCTTGCTATATTCTTAATTGACTAAAGTTATTATTGAATCTTTGTTGTTGTAAAGATGGATGTTGAAGTACCAAATTGAAAGCTGTTAAAGTTTCTGCAGTTTGAAATGGTGTTTATAATCTAAAGTTTTTTTTTTTATTGTCAATATGTGGTCTTCGTATAGCTGTGTCAAGATATTCCTTTTCCAAGATGGGTCAGGATTTCCAAATGATCAGTGGGAGGAATCTTTCTCAATAAATGTCAGTCAATAAAATTCAATGATGTTTTTGGTTTTACCAAGAATGGCTGTCTGAGATTATTTTTGTGAATATTTTTTCTCTACATCTGGGGTCATTACAATCAATCTTTGACACAATCTATTCAGATTTACACTTCTTTATCTCTGATTATTTTGTTCTTTTGTGGATTAAAATTGATGAAATTTGCTGAGTAACAGGTCTGTTTCTGTGCTCTATGACAGTATGACTCTATGACTCTATGATAGGGAGTCAGGCAAGAAACTAGAGACCACGTCAGAGCTGCTGCAATGAAGCAACAGGCATGAGGGGCTGGATACTCCTGCTCAAAATTCATGTGTTTCTATGTACGCTCATACGATTATGATAGACAGTTGATGGGATATAGCATACTGAGGCTGGTGCTGGAAATGATGGCATTTGAAGCTGCATTCATTGACGTTGCCCACATGAATGAATTTATTGCAATTCTTCTGGCATTGCATCCAAATCCACAGGACTACACTTGTGGAGATGACTGCAATGGCTGTCTGCAACTACTTAATTAATTTGAAGTTTCTTTTTGAAAAGCCGCTAATTTCTTGTGGAAAGAAAACCACCAATTTATTCACCTGCATATGCCCTTCAGTCCTGAGCAAATGAACACTGGAGCCCACTCTCTGCTATGTTGTGCTATTTTGTGTCTTTCCCAGGTCAAGCTCATTTCATGATTGACTTCCAATGCCTTTGCCTATCAAAATGCAGCTCCCCTTTAGTCTATGATAATGCAGTGTATATTGAAGACATGCTAGCCTCTGATGATTTTGCATCCCTGTTGAGGCCTGTACCCATTGAACAGTACGTTCAGCACTGGCTGCACTATGCAAATACGTAAATAAACAGGCAGCACAAAGCAAATCCCTTCTCATTTTATGTCTTTTATCCTTCTGATTTTTTCCTTCTCATGTTATGCCTTAGCTTATAACCACTCCACCAAAACATGCGTTGATGATTTTCCACTTTACCCCTGCAGTTGTCCACAGACAGTGGCCATCTGAAATGTAAGCCTTTTTCTCCGTAGGAAATGTTCCTCCCAGGAGGCTTGGTCACATGACCGCTACAATATTGACCGCAACTGCCCTTTTTACAAAATTTTGCAATAGTAGCTAACGGGACAGTGCAGACCCATACAACATCCACTGACAAAATCACCACTTCTAGCTCCAATCTATAAAAGGAATGTCTCTGGTCTGTAAAAAGCAGCCACCAATTCTGCAAATAAAGTACTCCTTTCATTGAAACAGTGAAGTCAAGTCACATTCCATCAAAATTTCCTCAGACGGCTTTCGAAGGAACGTTTTTAAGAGAAGGAACTGCCCACAACTTAAGAATTCGTGGTTAGGTAATCACTGCCAATGAGGAATTCCAAACAGATAACTTCAACTTTGAACTTTTTGGACTTTTAAAAGCCAGGTAATTGATCCAATCATAACCTTCAGTTATTTTGTGATTAAAAATGATGAATTATGAATTGAACATTCTCTTTATCAGTTCTGATTCTTCTTTTTCCCTTCATTCATGGGATGAGGGCATTGCTGACCAGTAGAATTCATTGCCCATCCCTAATTGCCCAGAGGGCAGTTTAGAGTCAACCACATTGCTGTGGGTCTAGAATCACATGTAGGTAATGTTAGGTCTCCACATGTTGAGACTTTTCTGTTTTCCTAAAAAGGAGCGAGACCCCTGTTTTCTTCACAATGCAAAGGGTGGCCAGCAGTAGAGTTTGGAACTGGAAGATGCAAGCATTGAAATGAAATGTGGGCTGGGAGTAATTTATATAAACCGTTGGTCTCATTCTCTTGCCTCTTTGCATAGTTCCGGCCTAAATCATATGACTCATGTAGGTTTTTCCAGCCTCTGTTTGGACGATGTGAGAGAAGTTTAATGACAAACACATTCACATTTCTAGAAAGGTATTTGTTTAAAACTTTACAGGCACAGTACATTGTTGTCGTGGTGTCTAAATCTATACTTTTTAGACTCCAGATAAGTAACACAGTTTTATTATTTGATTATTTGTATTAATATTATTACTATTATTATTATTATTATTACATTGTTATGATCCAGATGATGTTATTACTGGTCAAGTCAGATTACAAACTGGAACCTAGCTTGATAGATCGTATTTTGTTTTGTTTTGGTTTTATGAGGTGGCCTCTCACTGAAACATAAGCATGCAATGTTGCAAATTTTCTTTTATAAAGCATATGTTTATTAATTAAGAGAAAAGATGACAAAGTAGAATAAACAATAGTGTTTGGAAATGAACTCAAATTCAGAGTTTTAAATGCACAGAAAAAATATAAACATTAATCCAAAACACTCCATTACAAGATGTAAAAAAAATCTCTTGTTCAATACTAGAAGCACCTATCTACAATACTCACATCAGATAAAACCTTTTCCTAACACGTTGGCAGGTTTTAGGTAACTGTGACTTTTACTCCTGGCTTGGAAATGCTGATTACTTCTTCCTGGAGCTGTCATGTGTCTGAGCATAACATTCTCAGTTTTAAATAACCTCTTCAGTGTTTTATCCAAAACATTTGCATTAGATCTATGACAACTCCTTATTCTAAATTAATCTAGCTACATTATATTCTCCCATTCCCAATCACCTTCAAAGGATTTCACAGAACTGCACAAAACAACATAAAACCAGAAGAAAAGTTTATCTCTCTAAAGTTAAAAACTCTTAATTTAGAAACTTGGAATAGAACTTAAAGCATAATTTTGTTAAGTTGTAAAACATGCATAGGTAAGCAAAAGTCAAAATAGCTCTCACAAATGGTTTTAAAATAAATCAACATAGCTATAGAAATTCTTACAATTTAATTATTAAATTCAGACACACAGAAAACCCATATGCTGCTAATCTAAACTCCAAAACCCAAGCCTACACTAAATTATATTAAAATATATATGAATCAGACAATTTGTATCACAAATTAAAAGTATTTATGATTATTCAGTCCAGTAAAATATAATAGTTGTTTAACAAATATATGTTCATTGTTTATGTCTTCAGTTAGTAGATTTCTATATCAACTACTTCAAATAGCTACAACTCTTTCAGAATGTTTTAGTAAAGATATCTGGTGCATTGTTTTGAAAGAGGTTGAACTTGTCTTCTCCTGCTACCAGCATTGTTGAAGGGAAAGAACGGGGTCTGTCAGGATCCCGAAAGAAATAGAAACAATCAGCATTAATAATCACTTGGATTTTAATCCTTCCTGTAGCATGTCCAAAGCTAACTGCACTAGATAAGGCTTATGAAGCTCTGGCTCACATTCACGAGCCAGAAATGATAGGATAGTATGAGCCAGGAATTGAAATGATGGGGTAGTTTGTCCCCTGGGTTGCCACACTAGCGGCTGGAGATCAATTGTTGATTGTGGGAGACTCTCAGATATTGTGGAAGGATTGATAATCCTATTTCTGATAACAATTTCGGTTTGATTGTTATAAGGAACACACAAAATATTAGTATTTGGATTTTATTCATATTTATATATGGAATGATACTCACAACCTCAATACTCACATCAACAGGATAGGCAATAGTGAGGACAAAGCAGATCACAAAACCGAATCTTCTCCTATTTGAAAGGTTTGGTTCACTGAAGTGGACTGTCAGACCATCATGTACCTGAAACAGGCAAACAGATTAATCACATAACAGAAATTTGATATTTACTCATCTCATTTATTTTTAATTTTGGATTTCTACTTACAGACATTTGTCCTGCTTAAAGAGGACGTTGAATAGCCTTCTCAGCATCAACCAAGTGTATGGGAATCTCCTGATTTGATGTTCGCAGGAATAGCACTTGTTCCATGTTCGAGTAGCCCTAGCTTGCGGCTTCCAATGGATATCATTGAGCACAGCATTATCTCTCTGAGAAATACTTATAGTTACATTGTTGTAAAATTGAAAAGTACCATTGGATTAGAAAATTGCAAATGGCATTGAATCATAGAATCATCGAGTCATACAGCGTGGAAACAGACCCTTCGGTCTGACCAGTCCATGCTGAACATAATCCTGAACTAAATTAGTCCCACTTGGCTGCTCCTGGCCCATATCCCTCCAAAACTTTCTTATTCATGTATCCATACAAATGTCTTTTAAACCTTGTAATTGTGCCCGCATCTACCACTTCTTCAGGAAGTGCATTCCACATGCGAACCACCCTTTGGGTAAAAAAAATTGCCTCTTATGTCTTTTTTAAAATCTCTCCCCTTTCACCTTAAAAATGTGCCCATTTGTTTTGAAATTCCCCATCCTAGCGAAAATACAATTACCATCAACTCTATCTATACATCTCGTTATCTTATAAACTTCTATCAGGTCATCTTTCAACCTCCTACCCTCCAGTGAATAAAGTCCCAGCATATCCAGCCTTTCTTTATAACTCAAACCTTCCATACCTAGCAACATCCTGGTAAAACTCTTCTGAACCCTCTCCAACTTGATAATATCACTCCTATAACTGGGTGACCAAAACTGGACATAGTATTCCAGAAGACGCCTCACCAACGTCCTGTATGACTGCAACATGATGCCCCACCTCCTATACTCAAAGGACTGAGCAATGAAGGAAAGCGTGCTAAATGCCTTTTTAACCATCTTGTCTATGTGTGATGCAAACTTTAAAGAATTATGTACCTGCACCCCTAGGTCCCTCTGTTCTACAACACTACTCAAGGCCCTACTGTTAATTGTATAAGGCCTACCTTTGTTTGTTGCACCAAAATGCAATATCTTGCATTTATCCAGATTGAACTCAATCTACCATTTTTCAGCCCATTGACCCACTTGATCAAGATCCTTTTGTAATCTTAGAAAACCTTCTTCACTGTCTACAATGCCACCAATTTTGGAGTCATCTGCAAATGTACTATCCATGCCTTCTATATTCTCATCCAAATCATTTATATAAATGACAAACAAAAGAAGATTCAGAACTGATCCCTGTGGAGCATCGCTGCTCAGAGGCCTCCAGTCCGAAAGGCAACCCTCCACCATTACTGTCTGTCTCCTGCCGCTAAGACAATTATATATCCAATTGGCAAGCTCACCCTGAATCCCATGAGACCTAACTTTACTAATTAATTTACCATGCAGAACCTTGTCAAAAACTTTACTAAAATCCAAATAAATAACATTTACTGCTCTGCCATCATCAACCTTCTTGGTAACTTCCTCAAAAAACTTAAACAAGCTTGTGAGACATGATTTTCCTCAGACAAAACCATACTGACTATTTCTAATCAATCTTTGTTTCTCTAAATCCTATGTCCATAAATTCACCTTCAGCAATTTATCCACCACTGAAATCAGACTCACAGGTCTATAGTTCCTAGTTTGTCCTTACAACCTTTCTTAAACAAAGGTACAGCATTAGCCACCCTCCAGTCATCAGGGAATGGATTAAATGTCATTAAGAGACAAGGGTACAAACTTAACTTGTTTTCCCTGACGCTACATCACCTTAATGCTTGAATGGTGTCACTTGGGAATAAAATCATTCGCATTTTACTCTGCTGTCCTTAATCAGTCTGGCCCACCTATGACTCCAGACCACAAGAATGTGGTTGACTCGGAATGTTGACTCTGAAATAGGCTAGCAAGCTTTCTGTTTTAGATGGTTCAGTATACTAGCTGATAAACTGTCATTTGTCAAAGTCAGAAATAGTGGTCTGACAGAGAACACCCCCCCATCCCAAAAGAAAATGTTTAAAATACGTAGAGAAAGCCTTGTAATCTCTACCCAAAAATCTGCAGATGCTTTCTGAGTTGAAATTTTCCAATCTGTGATTGTTTGTTAAAGACGTCACAATATATGGAACAAGTTACAGCTAAATGGGGTTGAGTTACAGATCAGACATGATCAAATTGATTGGTGGAACAGGTTTAAGAGGCCAAATGATCATCCTCCATTCTTACGTAACTATTTTGATCTTGATCAATTGGGTCAGTGTGCTGAGGAGTGGCAGAAGGAGTTTAATTTGGATAAATGTGAGGTGTTGCATTTTGGTTAAAAAAACAAGGTCAGGACTTAAACAATTAATGGTAGAGAACATGGCCAGCGTGGACTAGTTGGACCGAGGGTCTGTTTCCATATTGTATGACTCTATATGTAATCTCAGAAAGGTATTCATATAATTAAAGTGATCACCGCTTATAGCTCTAACCTGGAATAACCTGCAGGGCACCATTTTCTTTGTCAACATCATCCAAAGCCAACCACACAGAGGCTACGGATCCACCTTCAAAGCCCCAGTATCTAATAACAAAGAACAATGTAAATTATAATTGCCTGAGTTAAACAGCAGTCATATTCAGAAACATGTCTCAGTATTTTATTGGATTGTTAACCTTTGAGTCAGCTGATGTCCTGTGCCAGGCAACATAAAGAGCCACATTGCTTTCATGAGGGACATCAGAGCTGGATACTTGCAGATAAAAGGAGAATCGAGCAGAATGACATCAGGTCCCAAAACTGCAGTGATGGCTTTGAGGACTAGAGGATGTGTAGCTAAGTCCATCACCCACTTGTTCTGTAAATGTACATTATGTAGGCTGTACTGGGTGTATACCTTACCTGCAATACACAATATAGAAATTACAAAACAATAAAGTTAACAAAGATTTATATAAGCATTTTCTTATTACAATTAAATTATGATGCTTGGTGTCATCAAAGGCACTGAATCAAATACCGAGCCACATTCCAGACCCTCCAGTTGCGTTGAGGCATTCTTTAACATGTAAAAAAGAACCTTATGATAATTGGCACATAGATGTTTACTTACCAAATTTATTTTCTAAGGTTGAGATTGAAGGTTGAAGGTCAACCTTCTGAGTCAACCACATCCTTGTGGTCTGGAGTCATAGGTGGGCCAGGCTGATTAAGGACAGCAGAACAATATGCTTCCTGATTTTATTCCCAAGTGACCCCATTCTGAATGGCCAGTGCAAGCTCATCCTTGTCTAGGATGTGAATTCCAGTGAGGTAGCCATTCATTTCATAGAGATTTTTCAGTTCACTTGTCTTGTTCTGCATGTTTAGTAACTTACTTTGCTTGACAATAGCTTTGCAGAATTGTGCTAGTATTGATACTGGTTCCCTGTTGATGGTGACTTAAGTTGTTAGCCCATAGATTTTAATTTGCATATTGTTGTTCAACTGTTTCCTTGGACAGAGATTACATATGTGTTAAAAATGTCCATGTGATTAATATTGCTATACTGACCAATCCCTTTTAATATTGCTTAGAATTCATTCATGTGGGTGGCACTGGCTGGGTTAGCATTTCTTACCCATCCCTAATGATCCAGATGTCAGTTAAGAGTTAACACTATCTGGAGCTGCAAGGTACCCACTCAGACTTCAATGTCAATAATTGTCACTGTCAAATGTCTTTCCATCTGTGGGAGAATAGGAAAGTGTATGTAAAAAAGACAAGAACTGTGTGTTGCAGAACCAAACCTACTGTTTGCAATAAATTAAACGGTTTTGTTCCAGTCTCTTCCAGTCTTGCTTTCACATTATTTTCCCTGATGGTGATGATTGCTAGTTTTATTTCTTCCTCTCAATTGACATTTCCATGTCTCCCACTCTTTCATAAAAATCTTACCTGTTTCTTCCCCTTATTCATTTTTACTTCTTCTATCTCCATTTTTGGAGGTAACAATCCCATTAATATAAATGATAAGCCCACTGGCTCAGACATCAATCTTGCTGCTCTTATACAATTTCCTGATACAATGCCAACCCATTCTATCAGATTCTTTGCCCTGAATTTTCCTAGCCATGATAATGCGGGCAATGGTGAATCGGTTGAGAAAATATGGCAATATCATTGTGTTGAGGAAAAAAAAGTCTGATTTTCCACTCGTGGATTGTATGACCAAATGAGGATCTTGCTAATGATGAGTGAGAGGCCAACTTGCACGTATTTACATGTTATTTGTACCAAATCTTGTCTTCTTTATATGCACTTTCCTATTCTCCTACAGGATAGAAAGAAACTTGACAGTAACAATTCCAGACATTAAAATCTGACTTGGTGCTTGGCAGCTCCAGCTAATGTTGATTTCAGGGGCTTCACAATCACAGTTGCCTAATATGTAGAGTTAACAATTTATTGTAATTTTCTGATAGTTTATTAAATTTGTAAAGAAGCAGCAGTTTAGATATGATACATTAGATAATTAGATAAAGAAAAAATACAACCATGACAATTGGGGATAGTTCATTGATACCAGAGGACAAACAGACTGTCAGTGTGGAATGTTTTGGTCTCATTAACATGATGAGGGGTTGCATCCTGATATCTCTTGGGGGAGGGGCAGTGTGTTAGGGACTTCTTTCCTGAGTCATCCCCCTCTTCTTCTGGCCCATCTTCAATCTGCCTAATGAGGACTACTCAATGAAGACTGCTCTTTGGGGGCCACCTGAAGAATGCTGCTGTCTACAAGGTGTGCTTGATGCAAACTGCTCTCTGAGAACCTTCTATACCCCAAGGACTTACTGTTATATTTCTGGGGCAGGTGGCTTGTGCCATGTCAATCAATTATCTGAACTCTTTTGGCCACTGACCATGGGACAGCCACACATGAAGTTGGATGATTGTTGCCCATTTGCCCCCCAACCTTCGTCTGAGGGTTAGTTTACCATTCTTTCTATGAAAATACTTCTTATGTTCAAAAAGAACACATTAATAGTAGTGTGTGTTTGGCACCAGATAAATTGTTGACATCATTTCAATGGGTATCACGATCTCTGTGCTTTTCATTATTCTTCGCTTTTTTTTCATAATTCTTCCCTTGTTTTCATCTGATAGAATTTTGGAAAGTTAATTATGAACATGATAGCTGTTAAATGAAATCTCAAGTGCACTGTTTAATGCTAGGAAAGTTCAGTTTTTAAGGGATCTTAATACTCAACCTAAGTTTATCCTCAGGACCAACATTTTGGCCAGGGACACAGCAGCTTGGGTTATACTCCACGGGTAATGAACCCCTGCACCTCCTCATTCATGCTGGTTGGCATGGGACACTCAGCAGCCTCACCACATCATCATGGCATATCTCTGACCCATTTAGGATAACCCACTTCAATGTGTTACACCTCATTGGGGTAGCACACTGGAACGAGCAAATTTCTAATGAGTGGTCTCTGGACTTGAAATGTTAACTTTATTTTTCTCTATGCAGATGTTGTCAGATCTGCTGAGTTTCTCCAGCAGTTTCTGTTTCTGTTTCACATCTCTAGTGTATGTAGTTCTTCATTAAATTTCAATAAAATGGTGAACATTTTTCTTTATTCATTCATGGGATGTTTCCCTGGATGGTTATGCTTGCATTTTTTCGCCCTTCAGTGATGTTAGTCCATTGTCTTGTTGGACTGGAAATAATGGCAATTGAGATGGATGGGATAATAAAACAGAAGTGAGTGGTTTGTCAATTCCCACCATTGCTGCTCCAGCTCATGCAATAAAGTGGTAATTGATCAACACTGGGCCTCTGTGTGGTTTCTTGTCCCACATCAATAAGCAAGGCTGATGTCCTCATTGATTGATGCTGAGAGGGTAAGGGTGTCTGGGTACAGAGCCAGTAGGCCGTCATTAGTGGTCTGAGCTGCGTGCATTCCTTTTACTTCACAATATGGAGAAGCTGAAGAGAAAAATTGTGAATAGTGCAGGAAACCTTGACATCACATTGGAGGTGAGTTTTATCTGTACTCTAAAGGGAGTAACTTACAAGCATTCCTAGAACAGGCAGAGCCAAGGAAACAAAATCACTGCTGGATATAGAGAAAAGTACTGCAGTGTCTTAACAACCACACTTGCGTCTTCATAGTTGGCAGAGATTTTGGTGGTCAAGCTGAGGGACAAAGACAGCCTGAAGGTTTGATGATGACTGACTGCTAGCTCTTTTCCAGGCTGAAAGGAGCGGATGGGAAGATCTCATACCAGTTGATGACAAAAGGAGATCTCCCAAACTGATGAAAGCAGCTTGGATGGGAGGCACAAATGAGATCAGTATCATTGAGGCAATCCCATGAACCTGGATCCAGTATTGTAAATAATTATATGAGTTCCTGACATCAGTACAAATGAGTGAAGCTTCATTATGGTGATGGGCATTGATGGAATGTGATAGCAAGGTTCACGAGGACAGTGCATTAGTTGGTTCACAGAATTGTGAGGGGAGAGAATGCACTTGTGGCAATGGACAGGGACAAGAGGCAGATGCAGATGTACAAACAGTAGCAGAGGAAGATTGTAAAACACTGGAAAGAACACTGCCCATTCCCTGATAACAACCTGGCACAACATAAAGTTATCACAGTCCCTTCCTTTAGTAGGATGAGTGTATGTAACACATAATCAGATAAAATTATACTTTAATACAGGATAAGAGCATCATAGTCTTTGGTACATCATGAATAGGTGGGTGATCATCTTCAAGTGCCAGACTCAGCCAATTGTACAGACAATTGTTGGTATTGACTCTCACACTTGGGGAGAGGGATCAGGCAATAGTGTGCCCCACACCCAGATGGAGATTTCCAGCCTCCAGGCCCTGTAATGATACCTTTACATTGACCCTCCTCCAAGATGGCGCAGCCTAAGGATATATTTCTTCTGTCAAACGTATGGCCTCAATTATGACATGCAGCTTCTGTTTATGGAGTGGAGAAATCCTTGGACCTTCTTCCAGGAATTGCAGGATTGCTGACAATCATCCTTTCAAAGCATCAGGCTCAGTACACAAGTCTTGGCACCTGAGCATTCCTCAATATGTATGCAGGTACAAACCTATACTGTTCATTGATGATGGTTGCACATCTATTGGAAATTAATAAACTGAAAACATTTCCTGTTGATGAATATGCAGGTTTAGCTTGTTGATGCATTGATGGCAATATGCAGGCACTGATACCCTGAATTCTTGGGAAGCCTGCCACTGCAGTGGACCTCTGGTTTTTTCAGATTGGTTGCTATAGTTCACTGTAAACTCAATGAATTGCTCAGCTCATTGGAACATTGTATCATTAGACACATTAGTGCAGTATTGGCGTGCAGGCAGGATGACTCCACATAAGTCACTACATGGCGCTTTAGTAGATTCACTATATGGATATGCTGGTGGTCATCTTTCAAGATTCTGTAGATCCTGGAACAGTTCCTATGGATTGGAGGGTAGATAATGTAAGCCCACCAGTATAAAAAGAAGGCAGAGAAAAAACAGGGAATTATAGACTGGTTAGCCTGACATTGGTAGTGGGGAAAATTCTAATGTCCACCATAAAAATATTATAAGTAGAGCATTTGGAAAACAGTGATCAGAACAGGCAGAGCCAGCATAGATTTATGAATGGAAATCATACTTGGCAAATCAAAGTGAATTTTTTGAGGATGTAACTCATAGAGTTGATAAGGGGGAGCAAGTGGATGTGGTTTACCTGGACATTCAGGTGTTTGATAAGATCCCACATAAGAAATTAGCATGTAACATTAAAGCATATAGAATTGAGAGTAGTGCACTGACATATACAGGGAACTGGTTGGCACACAGGAAATAAAGACCAGGAAAAAAAAGGGTCTTTTTCAAGTTGCAGGCAGTGACTAGCAGGGATCAATGCTTGGACCCCGACTAATCATAACATAAATTAATGATTTGAATGAGGGAACTAAATGTAATCTCTCCAAGTTTGCAGATGATACAAAGTTGGGTGGAAAGGTAAACTGTGGGAAGGATGCAGGGATGCTTCATTGTGATTTTGACAAGTTGAATAAGTCAGTTTTTGAAAAGGAACAAGTTCTGATGTAATAACATATGAAGAAATCAAAAACAATTTTCTTGTGACTTCTACAAATGGAATTTTCAATTCAAGGGAAAGTGATTTGTGATACTGATCTCCATTCCTTTAAAAGAGTTCAAAGTACATGCAGCCATGTAAATGAAGTGCAAGTGGGTATCTAATCCATGAAACTGATAGTGCAGAATTAATTTGATAGTGAGCCAGAAACTGCATAGGAGATCATCTGTCTG